AGTCAGGAATAGGGCACTTGTTTTTCTTTTTTTTTTCCAGTTGATTGATAACGTTGGGTTTTGTCAGTTATTATGGAATTCCCCTTTTTCGAATTTACATTGGAGTTCGGTATTTTTTCATACTATTTTGAAGTCATGACTAGTGGGATGATTTATGATTACAAGAAATTATATAAAAAAATATATTAAAAGTATAATTTGTCAACCTCAGAGTCTGGTAAATAACTTTTGCAACACGTCTCATACAATGTTACTGGATCACGATCGTTACAGACTACATCAAAATTATATTCGTTAAAATGTGAAACTCAAAATGAAAAGTTCAATTAATGATTTATATCATGTTTTAATTATCGTATGGGATAACATGTCATAGTTAGCTGTTTTAAGGCATATCGGTGTATGGAACCAATACATACTTGGATGTCGGGAATTGATATACCACTGGATGTCGTGAACTGATATTCCATTTAATGAAGGTAACTTTCGGTGTTGACATGGATATCAATTACATGGTCATTTTTATAAATTTACTGTTTTGCAAAAGTATGAATTATTCGAAATACTAAGGTTTTTCCGATCCCAGGCATAGATTACCGCGCGTCTGGCGTATCAAAATATAAGCCTGGTACCTTTGATTACTAATTATATCATGTTTTATTTATCGTATGGGATAAAATGTCATAGTTAGCTGATTTAAATCATATCGATGTATGGAATCAATACACAATTGGATGTCGGGAATTAATATACCGTTGGATGTCGTGAACTGATACTCCATTTAATGTAGGTAACTTTGCCACATTTGATGCTATCGCATACTACAATTTCGGATGTAAGGACATACTCTATTAGATGTGAGGAATTATACCATTGGATTTACAAAATTATTACACCATTTAATGAAGGGATTTAATACACCTTTTGGTGTAGGACATTAATACATCATTGGCTGTAGGATTTTTTTTATGCCACATCAATGTAAGCAATTAATACAATAGTGCATGTCAGAAAATGATACACCATCGAATGTAGGACATTAATACACCATGGAATTAGGGAATTACTACCTCATTGAATGTAAGGACTAATACACCATAATATGTACGGAATTCATACACCATTAGAATTATTACACAATGTCTGATCTTTACTATTGTGTTTCCTCAAAAAATGTTCATGTTTCAATATATTGTTTTCATTTTCTTTAATTCCATGTTTAGCTAACGTTTTCTTTATGCAATTGAAACTTTTGGTATATGGTTTTGTTTTTGTTGATGACTTTTGATATATAATAAGGCGGTGTTGAATGATTGTCACAGGAACGTCACATTCGGGAGAATGAAATATTGTTTACTTTTTTCAGGACAGGGTCGTTGCTTCTCCTGGGGGACTACCAGTCCCCGAGGGTATCATCAACTCAGTAGTCAGTACTTCGGTACTGACATGATTTATCAACAAAAGCTCTCTACAATTGTCCGTTTAGAAGTTTTAAAATTACGAAGAAACAAAGGTTTCAACTCCTTCTGGTCGATGGATTTGGCCATTTTTGTGCATGTCCTTTTTGTTTATATAGCTCGTCAACGTGGCGATTCTTATACATCTTTGGTTCATCTTTGAGTGTTCCTGATGAAGGTAAATCCCGAAATGCGCTGCGGACGCATGGAATTTATAAAGTGGTGTTTTAGAATTTTACGGTTTTCAACAATGAGTAAAACATGACCAACTATAATAGACCTGGTTAAAGACAAATACATAAAAGTGATGTTTATTCTATAGAAACCGAATTTACAAAAAACAACAGCTACGTATATGTCTCCTCTCACCTTGATATTCACAATATAGAAATCGACAGTCAGCGTCAATTGATAACAACACTTTATATAAAATGATGACATTAATTTTCCCGATTTCAAATTTACATGTGTTTGAGGAAAAACGTAAAATAACAAAAATACCGAACTTCGAGGAAAGTTCTAAACGGAAAGTCCCTAAGCAAGTGGCAAAATGCAAAGCTCAAACACATCAAACGAATGGATGGTGGTGCCTCGGTGGCCGAGTGGGCTAAGTAGTTACTACTATAATCACTAGCCAGTCAACACCGAGGTTGTGAGTTCAAACCCCGCTCGTGCGGGTGCACTCGACTCCAACCTTAATTGACTAGGATTGTCAGTTTTCCAATCGAAGGTCGGTGGTTTTCTCCGGGCACTCAGACTTCCTCCACCAATAAAAACTGGCCGTCGCGAAATATCCAAAAAGCGGTGCTAAATAGTGGCGGTAAAACACCAAAAACAAAATCATATCAAACCAATGGATAACAACTGTCACATTCCTGACTTGGTACATGCATTTTATATCATAAGCACTTGCATACTGGGTCTATCTCTCAGTTAAAGCTTAGACTTTTGCTATCAATGTCTGATCTAATAACTGATGAGCCAGGGATTTGTCAAACAACGTATCGTCCTTTTTCTCATTAAAGTTCATCTGAAAATTCCATGACCTAACAGATTAAAATTCAGTGTCTATATAGATTCTGGTTGCTGAAGTTGAGTGTCATTTTTCACAGTTGTTCCTTTCTTTCTCTTTGTGCTGTTTTATTTATTTTAGTCTTATGATATATGACGTGACTCGGTATTTATGCATCCTGCTATAGGTTGTTTGAATTTGGTCGTTCTTGGTGAGAGATTCGGACGCTAAAGGACTTTGGTTTTGTACAACGTCGTTTTCATTTTGTTACCTTTGCATGTATGTTTTTGTTTACTCTTTTAATTATATTTTATGTTACCCTTGTAACTACATTTTACTTAATTTGTAATGTATAAAGAAGTGTGTGATACATACAAATACAAAACCTTTGTTATCGCCGTCTTAGTCAATATATTATCAACTTCGAAACTTTCTAGTTGTCGGCTTTGTCAATGTACTATCAACTACAAAATTAAACTTTCTAGTTTCCGTCTTTGTCAATAAACAATCAACCACAAAACATTCTAGTTGCCGTCTTTGTCAATATACTATCAACTACAAAACTTTCTATATGGCGTATTTGTTAAATTTACTAACAATTTCAAAACTATTTTTGTTGACGTCTTTGTTAGAGTTATTTGTTTGTTTGTTTTTGAGTCATTTGTGATGTATGTTTACACGATTTTGACAACTGAATCTCAATACCTTTTATCCCTATTTGAGTTTCTCACCCAATTTTGTTAATTTATAGGGAACAATAAACAACTGTCATACAAGTGGGAGGGTTAGCTAGCTATAAACCCAGATTTAATCCACCATTTTCTTCGGAAAATGCCTGGTTTTAGTCAGAATTATGATTAGATGATGAATGTTTACAACGAAGCTCCTGAACCAAAAGTTCCTAATAGTACATATGAAGCATTATATAGAAATTGTTATAATCGACATCGTGCTCTTATGATTGATAGTTACGAAATATTTATGTCACGTATGACCAAAGAAATGTCCCATTTTCCATGTGTCGTAAAACATGATACATGACGTCATCCTGAGCCAAATGAGGGTCGTGTTACTCCATTTCAGTTTTTCATGTATTAACTCCTGGTTTGAATTGTTTTGTTCGGACATTGTTTCTTTGGCGTTTCTAAAACATCTATTTGTAATTATTTACTTTTAATTGGTTAGAAATATGATTGCCATATTACAGTTGCATTGGATACATGAGCGCTAACAAACATGAAAACCCAGCGAAATTCTGTATACGCCTATCCCAGACCGGTATCGTTTGATACAGTAGTTGATGCGAGTTTCTGCTTGTCATAATTGTTTTTCGTTTTATTGTTGTTGTTCAAATCAGGTTGTTTGTTTTCTCTTTTGAATTGTTTATTTATTTCGATTATGTCTTCGTAATCAGTTATCTTTATACTTATTACAATGAAGAAACCAAGAATATTGTAGACGAACATTTGACCAGCTCTTTAATCACCAACATTGTCATGAAAATGGCTCATGCATTTGATGAATAGTAAGGAATGACACATGACAATGTTTCCACCAATGAAAAAAGGTGTTATATCGTTTACGAATTAATTCATATTGGGGATTAACAACATAAGAAAACAATTTAGAAACATGTATAAACATTTATTATTATGTACAACAATGGCATGTTTCGGACTAATACAATTTCCATGGTGTTGCTCAATAATCATATGAATAAGAATCTGGAAGAAAAGAAAAGTCCACATAAGGAAACATCAAATAAAAAATTATTTCAGTTCTTTTTCTACTTTAGTATATGTTTCTTTGTGTTTACTAAGGGGGTACCCAGCACTACGACTAAAATAGATTTGGCTTGTATAATTTTTATAAATCTTTGACAAAATATTTGCTTTGACCTGTTAACAAAATTATAAAAAATTCAAAATATTTAAACCACACAATTTACAGGATTAATTTCATTTGATATACAGCAGTATGATAAACACTAATTTTGATCATTGAAAAGCTTGATTTCTTTCTAATTATACAGACTGTAGTATGGGATTAAAACGTTAAGCTGATTTTTAAACAGTAAATTCCTTACGTGTTCAGTACTTCCCTTCATTGATTGAATACAAAATAGCTTTTACTATTTATTTTTTATTTCGTGTTATTACTATTATGCTTAAGATATATATAACGCGCCTCGTTTATCATACATCAATCAATCATCCAATCGATCAATCAATATAATGGAGATGTTAGGAATTGTTGTAACACTGACTGTATTGTTTAAAAAAATTGCCACGAAAACCATGTGATTTTTAAAAGTCTGTAGTCGTACCTTTAATGTTTTTCATAATCATATTGTAATTATAGTATAGATATTTCGTTTATTTATGTATTGATGTGTTTATATTGACCTCTTGTACACTGTTAGTGTCTGAGGATAATAAAACTTTGAATCTGGAATCTGGAACAAAATCATGTAATGCCCTTTTAAGAATTAATAATACTAGTAGTCTGCTAAATAAATGTAAATGCTTGTTCTACATACCAGAAGATCTTCTATATCCTGCAATTTAAATAAAAAAAACATATTTATCAATTTATTGAATTAAAGTTAAATATGAGAAATTAAAAATATAATAAAACAAATTAATTACGTTTCATCTTATATTATAAGTATAAAGACGTGAAGATTTTCATTTCTTTGATCATTTGACAGACAATACAACAAATAAATGAATAATCAAGACATTCATTGCCTTTTTAATTCATAAAAGAATTATAGAATATATACACATTTTATGTGAAAATATAAAAAGGCTATGTATGATTGACAATTAGGGAAGTGTCAACAAAAGTTTAAATGAAGTAGATATAAGCAATTTCATAGTTCATTATTACAAAATAATTCTTATACGATTTGCATATCAGAGAATACGTCAATATATTTGGTCGATAGGGCCTTTTGTAGAGGCTCTTGAAGTTATTAATTTGTCGATAGACAACGTTGAAGGAACTAGTTTTGAGTACCAATGTAAACAAGATGGTCACGACAATAACACAAACTGGCTCGATGTTTCACATATTTATTTTCACCTCGCGTTCATCGTTTGATTAAACAATAAACACAAAATATTTATTTGAATGACAGTAAGATATCTTTTTTTATCAGATAACAAATTTCCTGGAGTACAATATTTTGCGTGAACCAAAAAATATATATACATGCGCTAGGCCAATTCAATGACCCAAACATACAATAAAAGTTAAGGATCGAACGACTTTTTAAAGGAATTTATTGGTATTTAAACCGAACTAAGTCACTCATAAACATACCATAAAAGTCCTTTAGACTTTGAAAACAAAGCGTTTAATCCTTTATTGAAGCTTCAATGAACTATGACTTACTTTTGCCTCCAATGCCCATTCCTCCCATTGATCCTCCCATTCCACCGGCCATTCCTCCCATTCCTCCCATTCCTCCGCCCATTCCTCCTATTCCTCCGCCCATTCCGCCGCCCATACCTATATTGAAACAGAACATATATTGAATATCATATACACTATACATTATTATTATAAGTAAATGTTTTCTTTGTCAGTATGATAATGTTTGTCTGACTTTTATTCATGTATAACATAAAATATCTGAATTTGATCTTAAATTATATTCGTGTCTAAATATACACATGTATTTATTAAAAACATTGTCAAATATATTATTATTAAATGTACATTAAAGTGACATGACTTTTATTTATGTATAAGTCGTATTCGTATTCTTATTCGTATTCGTATTCATTTGTAGGTTATCAATATCCGTATGTATCGTTTTTCGCATCTTTTGTGAAATTTTTAAACTTTGAACATATTTATTGTCACATCGATGAATGGATAATACAAAAAGGTGAATTAAGTGTTTTCTCCTATACAGCTTGCATAACAATCAATCGAAAATAGATTAAGTAAGAAAAAGAAATCAATTTTAATTACCTCCCATCATGGCAGCCATCATTTTAGCTCCCATCATCTTTGACATTCCCATTGGCATTTCAATTTCCATTTTTGGCATTGGCTTTTGCATTGGCATCGGCATCATCATCTTAGCCATACCACCACTCATTCCTCCCATACCGCCTCCCATTCCACCCATACTGCCTTCCATTTCACCCATCATACCGCCGCTCATTCCACCGCCCATTCCACCGCCCATCATACCACCGCCCATTCCAGCGCCCATCATTCCACCTCCCATCTTTGTCATGGGCATTGGCATTTCGATTTCCATTTTTGGCATTGGCATTGGCATTTGCATTGGCATAGGCATCATCATCTTACCCATACCTCCGCCCATTCCTCCCATTCCTCCTCCCATTCCTCCGCCCATTCCACCGCCCATGCCTATGTGAAGGAGAATAAATATATAATATCATTTACACCTTACATAATAAAAAAAACTATAAAAATAAGTAGATGAGGCATGATTGTCAATAAGACAACTATCCACCAATTTAAAGAAAAAATGGATTTACATTAATATTAAACAAAATACAAATGGGTTTTGTTTATGTAGGTATCTTACGTTTTTACTTTCTTTAACTTCAACATGAAATATATTACATGTAATGTCAGACTTTCGACATGAAGTATATTACATGTAATGGCAAACTTTCGACATGTTTTACATTGATGTTTTTTTTTATTTATTTAATTCGTATTTGATCGTAAGTTTTTAATTTACTAATATTTAATGACAAGTGGATCTTTTTGTAAGAGGTAACATGCTCAAACACATATATGTATTATGTCCGAGCGATGAATGGATAATACAAAAGGGTGACTTTTGTGTTTCTCGACCGTACAGCATACAAAACATCGAATGGAAAAAATGTAGTTTAAAGTAACATGAGTTAGACTAAAAACCAATTATAATTACCTCCCATCATTGGCATTGGCATTGGCATTTGTTCTGGCATTGACATTTTCATCGGCATCATCATCATCTGACCCATTCCACCGGCCATTCCTCCCATACCACCTCCCATTCCACCTCCCATCATTTTACCATTAGCCGGAGCGGCTTCCATTTCAACCTTCATACCACCGCCCATACCACCGCCCATTCCACCGCCCATCATCTGACCCATACCGCCTCCCATTCCACCCATACCACCGCCCATTCCACCGCCCATCTTGTTACCAGTAGCCGGAGCGGCTTCCATTTCAACCTTCATGCCACCGCCCATTCCACCGCCCATTCCACCCATACCGCCTCCCATTCCACCCGGGCCGGCTTCCATTTCAACCTGCATACCTTTTCCACCGCCCATCATACCGCCTCCCATTCCTCTCATACCGCCTCCCATTCCACCCATAGGGCCTTCCATTTCCATCTTCATACCACCGCCTTTACCACCGCCCATCTTTCCACCGCCCATTCCCCCTTGTCCGCCTCCCATTCCACCCGGAGCGGCTTCCATTTCAACCTGCATACCTTTTCCACCGCCCATCATACCGCCTCCCATTCCTCCCATACCGCCTCCCATTCCACCTATTGGAACTTCCATTTCAACTTTCATACCACCGCCTTTTCCACCACCCATTCCACCGCCCATCATCTTACCCATACCAATACCACCCATCATTCCACCACCCATCATACCAGCGCCCATACCACCGCCCATACCGCCACCGTAGGGAAAACCATTTACTGTGACGAAGACAGCCATAAATGTGATAACGGTCTGAATTGGATTCATTATGAAAGACTGAAATACAAGAAAACAGTGTTGTTAGTAAAAGAAACAAATATTTGCAATTCATTTGTATTTTGTTTATTGTCTGCTAATATTGCTATTTTTTTTATTAGAAACCATTCTGTTTCAATAGATTCGTGATCTGTGTTTGAGTAAGTCAAAAGATGTAAAATCATTGAAGAGTGTGTGAATCTGTGAATTCCTTCTCTACGTCATGTAACATGTGTAATCTATTAACACTGATTAATATTTGCCAAAAGTATTCTAAAAAATAATCTTCACAACAAAATCATATGAACTTATAAAACCAACAATCACCAAACATCTACACATTTAAGTCGATATTGATTTTTAAAAACGTTTGATGGCATTTATAATGAGAATAATTTTTAAAAGAGGACTGAAATTATCTTGTGAGGTTTAGTACAAATGTGGTAACCAAATTGTATTTGAGTACGTATAACCACTACATATTCAAATGTTAACTGTAACTTTGTAATAAAGGCATCATTTATTCCCAAATGGTAGTCTGTTCACATTATATTATATTGTATATTACATAGGATCAATGTACATTTGTTAGTGTGAAGAGAATCGTAAAAAAATAATAGAAAAGTGCATCTTCTAAACATTTTGCAGAATTATACATAAAACGAAATTAATTTATCTTATCATTTATTTGTATTCTATAGATCGCTTCAATATATTTCCTTAATACGATTTATGACTTCCGAATAGCGGTATACTACTGTTGCCTTTATTTATATCTTTTGCTAAAGATACCAATCAAGTTATGTACAGCTTTATTTCCTTTCGTTCCCAAATTTGCTTAATCAACAAAGGTTTTTCGAACTAATTAAAAAAAGCAGTTTCTTATATGACCTTATTCATTTCAATGTTGCAGTCAAATGTGATACATATTGAGTATATTCTGTGTACAGTAGAATCATATAAACATTCATAAAAATGAATAAAATTTCCTAGTATTGATTTTTTTCTTGTTTAATGTGTGATAATTCAGACTTCCTACATTCTATTAAAACAAATCAATTAAAGTATATATTCTCCCTGTATGTTTCTAATCAGGAAAACGAAAAACAAATGTTAGTTTGTTATTCGAATACCACCAACGACAGTTTTTAAGTATGTCATTTGCAAGATTTTTTACTTCTATAAACATATAGTACTATTTGAAGAAGAAATCATTGTTTTCATCAGCAGCTAAAAAAGATGTCAATGTTCAAAATATAAATTTAACGAAATTAGATTTCAAATAAATTCATTTGAAATAAGTGGCAGTCTCGTTTATTGATTTAATAAACTAGTACTGAATGTGGAAAACATGAAAATACCATTGTGTTGGTCGGACGCGATTAACCTTCATGCAGGACATTCAAAGTCAAATATTTGAAAGCCACGAATGTTTGAAAAAAACAATATCGTGAACAATTCTATGATCAAAATTAAAGTGACTTTAAAATGATAGCCAAGCCAATCTAAGGTCATTGTTTCATGAGAGAGGCAAAATCTTAGTTAATTGTGAAAACACCAAATAGTTAATTTATATTAAAACAACATACCTTTACTTGTAGCAGTGAGATGCTATGGTAATCAGGGAGGACAATCACGTTGTGGCCATATTCAGAGACTGGACATCTTTTATAATGATTTACTACAGGAAACAGAACAGTAAATTCAACTTAAACGCCTTGTAAAATAGAAACATGCTAAAACATTAGTCATATCTCTTTATTATCATGTTTGATTTGAACCTGCTAGATTAATTATAAGTTTTAGCATGTCAAACTAATGTATGACTGATGTAACGTTTGTAATCGATTGTAATTGATATGTTACGAAATAGTGTACACTCGTTGCTGAGGTTGACAAATTAGACGTTTAATTTTGGTCGTATCAAAACACAAAAGTGATTTGCAGATTTAAATTACATGGACATATGTGTCAGTTGAATTTTGGGTTTCAACTGTGAAACACTGATTCTGTTTCTTATAACAGATGTCTCTTTGGAAACATTATTATAACAATTTCATTATAGATATTTATTATTGAATTCAAATTATTCATAATATATTTTTCGTGAAGAGTACGATAACATAAATTTCCTAATATGTGTTCCATTTATAACACTAAAACTTTTAGCTGTCAAGGAATTGCAATTTCAACATTAGTATGATATCGGCTGTTTAATTTTACTTCCTCATAATTATTTTTGCATGCCTTGCACTATTATATCTTTTGTTATAGATATGGTATATTTAATAGTTGAATACTGGCACTAAAGTCATTTTAAATGTTAAGATGAGTACATAAAATACATTTAGCATATTTCAAATTAAATCTTTTCAAAGCACCTCCCTAATTTTGAAGTATTTTCAAATAAAAGGAGACGGATATGAGATATATGTTAATGAGACAGGAAGCCATCATTACAGTAATATCAACAGTCATTTCGTGGTCTTCATACGATTTCAAACATTATTATACAAGTTGTTGCAGTTTCTTGAGCTCTGAAATTGCTTATTCTACTATATTTGTGTGATACTGAATACTAATATTTTTTGTGGTTTTGAATTACCAAAAACATGTGTACATTTGGTTTATTTGTGAAATTTGAATAATATATTAAAATTTGTATAGCAAAGCATCAATTCATTTATTTCCACAAGCTTTGAATTTGTCCAATACAAGGGCTGGATCAATATCCTTGTGGATGTACATTGAGGCTAACTCGTTTAACCGATGTTCGGTCATTGGTGTTTATTTATACGAATGTGACTATATAATATGTCAAATTCACCATTGTCCTGATTCTACAGTAACTGTTTTTAAACCGAAAATATGTAATCTACGATCATCCCAAAGTTGTACAGATAACAAAACAAAGTTATCACATAAGACAATCACTTACAAGTTTCTTGACTTGCTAAAAGTAACTGAAAGTCAGCTCAACTACTAAGCATGCCGATATTTTCCAATCGGTCGTACACCCTTATATCGGTGGCTTTACTTCACTGTTACATACGATTTAACATCAAACCAGAATAGAGTTAATACTTGTTCGATGGCCAAAGGAATTTTCAATGAAAAAAAAACCCAACGAAACAATAAAGGTTTTTTTTTCAAATTATGATGATAATTTTTTTGTTTATTCGTCGGTTATATATGAAAGTTATTATAATCATATGAAGACATCCGAGAGCGATGTAACACTAAGATGTTCTAAGTAGTTTTGATTCAAGAGAGGCAAAAGATACCAGAGGGACATTCAAAGTCATAATTCGAAAATAAACTGACATCGCCAAGGTTAACAAAGAAAAAAACAAACAATTGTACACAAAACACATCATAGAAAAGTAAAGACTGAGCAACTAGAACCCTAACAAAAGGTTGAGTAATCTCAGGTGCTCCAGAAGGATGAGCAGATCCTACTGTACATGTGGCACCTGTTGTGATCCTCATGTTAGTACAAACCCGGTAATAAAGCTAATACGGTACGTCACATTCGTGGTACAGGATTGTAGTTACAATACTAGTATAAGGAACATATCCGCTGTCATCTGTGAAACGGATATTCCATATGGTTCAACCAACTCGAGATGGCGTCTGAAAAATTTACGACAGGATCATTGAAACATCGCCACTTGGATCTCCTGGGTTAACACCTTCTTTGTGATCAGCAACCCTCTATCAATGAAATCACGACAGGAAATACAAGCCCTGGAATATCGTATCAATTGGGCGATATATACTCCGTATGCGAATACTGCTGAAATGTTGTTACATAGAAATGGAAAGTTCATAATTGGGAAGCTCAAATCATCTCTTTTGTCGTAAAGTTTTGTTTTCAAAAGCCCCTCATTTTCAATTTCTAGATGTAAGTCAAGTTATGAGGCAGACTTAACTATATCTGTTGTATCCTTTATTTCATGTTTGATGTGATAGATGCGTTCAACATAGTCACCAATTCTGAATTATCTAATAGAGAACATAATCTATATAGAGGAAAGTAAAGATACCACTAACGTCTCCTTAGAAGAAGTTAATGTATGAAGTCAGCTTCATATGAAAGAGTCGTCAGGAAGAGGGGAACAGTTTGTTCCCATGAGAATGCGGATTGTTTGTTGAAAAACGCGTCCTCCAAACGTAACAATATATGTTGTCAATCAAGTAATCTAGCATCTTTATAATGTCAGGGAATTTTTTATTTGAATCAGAGTGATTATTTACGAAGTAGTATTTATGCCTCCGTACTTGTATCTACGTTGGCCATTCTTTTTGTGAAACAGCAGGACCAACTCTTTCAATTTGTCTTTTAGTCTGGATTGGTTTTAATACTATTGCAAGATGAAAAAGTCTTAGATTGCAATAATGAATCAAGAAGTATGCAGGATACAAAGCTGTTCAACAACACGAATATGATTTAAATTGTACCTGTTAAATCGATAATCAATGTTTTGACACAGTCCCTATATTATAAGTATAATTAGTCAACCTTAGAGTCTAGTATATACCTTTTTTGTTACATGTCTGATACAATGTTACCAGAACACGACTGTTACAAGCTACAATGTACATCAAGATTGTATTCCTTAATTAGACTTTGAAACGAAAAAATGAAAAGATGAACTTATGATTCATATCATGTTTAAATGATTCAAATGGGATAACATGTCATAGTAAGGTGATTTCAAACATATCGATCTCAGGATATATTACATCATTGGATTTCTAGAATCATCTCACTATTGGAAATCGGGAATTTATACACCATTGAACATAAGGAATAAATACATCATTGGATGTTACGTATTTAGGGCATACCATACAGTTACAGGGGAGGTAAAGATGTTGCTTACGAAAAATGTTATTTTTTCGCGAGTTCAAATGTTACATATAGGGAAAAAAGATGCATTTTTCGACTGATTTTTATCAT